CCCTCCCTCCACCAGCACACCACAGCACCCTCTCCTGTCACGCGCGTGTCGCCGGCGGAGCTCCCAGGCGCAGCCAGAACCCGGGACGCCGCCTCGCCTTCCCTTCCCCCCAACATCGCCGAGCGCGCACCCGGGCCGCGCGCCGCAGGGGGACCCAGGCGCCCCCAGACAGTCCTTCGGCCCCCATCCTGCCTTGCTTTTCCGCCGGGGGGCTCAACCAGGGCAGCGAAACCAGGAAGGTGCTATCCCCGCCTGCATGTCCACGTGCCCCTCAGACCCCTATGCCCGTAGCGGGCAACTGGCAGGAAACTCCGTGCTGCAGGCGCCGATGAGCCACCGGGCCGATGCGGGGCCAAGGGGGAACTAGAGACTAGAGGACCAAGGGACTCCGAGGACAGGGGCAGGCGCCTGTACCGGGGCCACAAGTCCACGTGAAAGTACGGCAGCAAGTGCCGGAAACCTGAGGGCGCGCCTCCAGCACCCAGAGCTAGCTTGAGGGTACCCCACACCTTGGCGCGACTTCACCTCTCCAGGGAATCGCGGTACCCCCCCACCCCACCCCAGCTCTGCCGGCGGGGGGTACGGATTCCAAGCGACCAAGGCTAGACCCTACCCAGCGCTGTATCCTACCCAAGGCTAGACCCCTAGCGCTCCGGCTTGCGCGGAGGGTACCTCCAGCTCCCTGCCCCCTTAACGGAGCACATCGCAAGGTGCATGGAAGGGGGCTCTGCAGCCTGGAACCCCCGACCCCTCAATGCGCCCGCTGCTGCCTCCCGGCCTCCGCGGCTGCGGCGGCAGCCCCCGCAGCTCAGCACCCCTAGCATCCGGCCCGCGGCCCCAGCTGGCAGTACCTGCGTGTCGGCGAGATAGTTGAGGAAGAAGGAGGAGAGCTCTTCGTCCAGCAGCGCGCCGCAGTCGTTCCCCGCCATCTTCCAGCCGCGGCTGCAGCGTGCCGCGGAGTCAGCGCCGAGCCGGCCGGGGGGAGGGAACCAGCGAGCTAGCGAGGAAGGCGGGAGGCGGAGGGCGGAGCTCAGGCCCCGGCTGCCGCAGGGCCGCTGGCTGCGGGGGCGGGGCCGCGCGGTGCCTGCGCGAGCCGGGTGTCGCGCCCCCACTTTCCTGCGCCACGTCTGGAACCGCGATCCTCGCTGGCAGCCCCCAGCCCGGAGGAAAGTGCCCGCAGCCGGGTGACAGTGCCCAGCCTGCAGCCCGATGTCTACGCAGCAATGCGGGCAGCCCCCCGCTTTTGCCAGAGCGAATCACGTTGCCTTAGCGCTGGGCGGGTCCTTCGAGACAACCTGCTTCTGCACTGCTGGGTAAACTGAGGCCCGGGAAAGCAAAGGACCTCGTTTGAAGCCACAGTGCACTTCAATCGCAGAAAGGCAAAGCTTACGTCTGACTGCCCTGGAGGCTTGAGTTTCTCTACCCAGGCTGCAAGGCCAGAAAAGGAGGGATATTGTAGGTCAAAGATGGAGAAATCAGGGAAGGCTACTCGGAAGGGGTGGCATTATCTTTTCCTTGAAAGAGGTGTTGTTGACCCATATCCTGTTAAGTTTGGCAACCTCTCTCTCTCAAGTCTCCCTTCACTGCCCTATACCCTTTCGAAAATAAAAACAAAAAACTTCAATGACTTCTCTTACCATGAGCCACAATGCCTTGAAGTAGCCAGGCTCCTACGGGCTTCCCACGAACCATCTCACAGTGGGCCTCTACACGCTGAGTGCTGCCCACTACCCAGCCTCCATTCATTCACCTAGTAACCACGTCTTCAGGGCATCCTCCATTCTCCCACCCTCATCATGGGTTCCCTCAGCCCGGCAGGCCTTGGCTTTAAACCACTGGTCCCCGGTACCTTTTCACTTTTGTTTCAGTCAAGATTTGATCTATATGTCTCTCCTTACTAGACTCCAAGACTCATGAGTGCAAGGCCTCAATCTGCAATTGTACTTGTCATGTCTCCAGTGCCTAGCACATAGTAGGTACTTAGTAATTTATTAACTAAAAACCCAGAGAATTTTGATCCCACCACCACCACATATTGTATAGATAAGAAAACCGGTGTGAATATGGAGTGAGTGTCTGAGTCAGAACCCGAACTCAGGTATCTTGACTCAGCCTTGGACTCTCATCTTTAGGGCCGGCTATTCGCCAGGCAGGAGATGAGGGCATGGCCTGGATAAAGGCATGAAGGCGGGAAGAGTTAGACCAGTTTTATTGGACAGGCCTGCCTCCTGCCCTCCCCTCACCTGCACTCACAAGGGCTGCCCCACCCTGCCCCAGTGTGGGCTCCCTCCCAGCCAGAGGAGGAAACAGGGAGAGCGTCCCAGAACACCTGCTCAGACTTGAACACTAGCGCAAGAGCTTCCTTCTTCTCCAATCTGAACTTCCCAGAACCGCAGGGTGTGATTTCACTGTTTGGGCTTCAGGCCAGCACACTTTTAAGGAACAATGATTTCCAACAGAGAGTCTACATCTAGCCTTGGAGCACCAGCCTGGGAGTCGGGTATGCTGAGTGCTGCTGACCCAGCCCTGCCACATTGTCTTCGAGTCTTGGTCAATTCAAGAAGCCAAGAGCATGGGCCTTGAGTCAGACTGCCTGGTTTTGAACCCCCCGAAGGTCATTTACTCTCAACTCAGTTTCCTCACCTGCACAAATGGGGATCACAGAATTATTTACCTCATAGGGCTGTTACGGTGATTGAGGAGATAATATATGTGAAGTGCTTAATACAGTGACTGACCTCATAGGAAATATGCTACACTCTCTGGCCCTTTGTTTCCTCATCTGTAAAAGTGAAGATAAAATATGTATTCCCTGAAGGCACTAGCCAATGTTCCTTTCCTTGCTTCTAGCACTTACAGGCTGCTGCTACGTTGGACTCCAATAGATCTAAATTTGAATCCTGCTGCTCATTAGTATGTGCCCTTGGTCATTTACTTATTGTCTCTGAGCCTCAGTTTCCTTCACATAGGGATCTTGGGAGAATTGAATGAAACAATGCATGTAAAATGAATTGCTTGATCCTTGGCCTGGCAGACAAGTACTCATCCTCACTACGTCACCATCACCAACGTCATCACCATTAGCACCAAGGACTTGAGCTCTCCTAAGGCCTCGCTTTTCTGCTGCTACCTGTGGACATCGGAGTCAGAGCCCTATGGGACAGTTCCAGAGATGTCCCTAGCAGATCCAGCCTGGCCTCTGACTGGTGTTATGTCCCTTATAGCCCAGAGACCAGACTTGGAGGGTCCCCAAGGCCAGCCATCTCTGGACATGGCCTTACAGAGCTGCAGTACCAGCCAGGGCCTCCCAGAGAAGGCTTCAATAGCGCTCACCCAAAGGCGTTTGTCTTTAAAACTCAGGTATTAATAGAAAAGCCACAAATTGCCCAGCTTCAGGAAATTTCTCACAAATCACTATCCTCAGAATGGGCTTCTGGCTGGCAAGAAACTCAGGTGAGAAGGCACCTGACCTGAGAGATCTAGCTTCCTTTTCAAAAGCATCTTATCCCAGGAATTCCTTTATTACAGGCCACCCACAGTGTCAGTCTCATCACCCCCTCTAGTCCATGAAGGAATCTGAAGCCCTCAAGAAACCTAGAGTGCTAGATGATTTTGTGCAATTTGCTTCCCCTCTCAGAGGCAATTTCCCTACCTGTAAATGAAAGAGCTGGGCTAAATGACCCTCTATTGAGTCCTCCAGCCCAAATAGGTTATCAGCCCAAATCTAGCAGCTTTTCAGTACTGTGCATGTGCCAGACACCTGAGTTTGTATCATCTCAGGTTGTGCTCGATAACCCCGAGTAGTCGGCATTGTGATGTCCATTCTATGACTACGGAAATAAAGCTTAAAAGGGGTTAAAGTGATTAGCCCAAGACCAAGCAGTTAGAGACACGCTGAGAGTTGAACCCAGGTCTGTGTGCGGTCCAAGGCACAGCCCCTTGAACGGGATTGAGAAAAAACCTCACACCATCTAACCACTCCCAGGAAGTGGGAATGGTGGCACATTTCTTATTTTATGACTTTCAAGCGAAGGACAATAATAATGCCAAGCTTGGACTTCATGTGGCTCAACTCCTATCTTCTCTGCCTTTTTATTGGCCTTGCCTCTCCTGAGATTAGTAAACGTTTGTCCTGCGCAGACTCGGGGCAAAGCCCAGACTCCTCCAGGCTCCACGGAAACGGCTACAGCAAAATGAACCTATTTGACTCAAATATTAGAGCCACTACTGACAAATGCTCAAAAGTAAAAACATCAGCATTTTTTCCCTTCTGGTAATAGGAGAATGCTTTATTTAGACACAACAGCCGTAAGTTCTCAAACTCTGGAAGGCATGAGAGTCACCTGGGCCCTGTCACTAGAGATTATAATTTAGTAGGTCTGCTGTGGGCCCAGGAATCTGCATTTAATGGGCTGCTCCCCTAGATGACTCTGCTGCAGGAAACGACCCATTATTCAGCAGAGGTTTAATGAGCAATACTATGTGATAGGTGCCATGGATAAATCAGTGAACCCAACAGCTACCATCCCTGCTCACATTCTATTCAACACAATTGCTTAGTAGATTTTTGTTGAATGAATGAGGGAGATAGGATGGGGGCCTTGATAATCATTGAGGTTTCCTGCCAGCCACCCACAACTCTATGATTCTATGACCCAAGTCAAGGAGCCAGACACACGCCTATTTCCCAGCTTCTGTCAAGGAGGCAGGAGCCCAAGGCAAAAGGAACTAAAAGGGTGCTTGCTCTGTCTTGTTAATTCTAAAAGCCATCTCCACCTTCCATTGAATGACAGGACTTTAGAACTGTAGCGGGGCAGTGGAGAGCATATTATCCACTGCCTTGCAGACTAAGGGGCTGGCCAAGTGGCTTAGTTGGTTAGGAGCTCACTCAAGAGTGTGAGCTCTGAGCAACAGCGGTTCGATTCCTTGCTTGAGCTGAATAGGTGGCAGGATGGCTTAGCAAAAAAAAAAAAAAAGAGTGTGGAGTAATGAAGCAGGATAGGGGTAGAGATGTTGTTGGTTTTTTTTTACTTCCTAGATAAGGCCCTCCTTATGCCCATTTGATAGATGGAGAAACAAAGGCCCAGATATGTGAGTTAGTTGCAGAGGTATAAATTGCACCAAATTTTATATATATGTATATTATATATACCACAACAGCAACACTTAAACAGACAGCCAACTAACATTAAAGGGCAACATCTAAATTTAGTAACCCTATCAAACAAGGCAAGCAGATGGCAAGGATATTGGAGTACCTGTTATTCTTTATACTCTATCACCTCCTGGCTTTGGGACCTTGTGAAAATCACTCCTTGGTGAGAATCATGCTATCTATACTACCTTACCTGACCTAGAGTTTTGTATGCATCAAGTTTACCTACAAAGGGCTTTGAACTTTATATTTGTTACCCAAAGTCATCAATAGTGGTCCGTTGCGGAATTTATCCTAAGGATCTGATTCAAAAGATGGGAAAACTACAGCATGATGTTTATATATACTTTGATTCAATAGTTTGGGGATCTGCTGCATTCCAGGCACTGTGTTACAGGCCCACAAGTGGTAACCATGGTACAATCTTGGCTCTTGTGTAACTCATGGCTCTGGTCTTCATAATGTGCAGGGGAGAGACAAGTCAACATGCAGCTTGCTAGGCTGGAATAAGTTCTTTAATGGAGGAAGTTGGGGGGTGGGGGACTGGAGGCTGGAGGCGGTGAGGGACCAGTTAAGAAGAAGAGCCCAGCAGAGAGATGGAGTCCTGAGCGAAGATAATGAAAGGAGGAGAGATATGGAAGAGTGGATGGGTTAGAGCCATCTTTCAGAGTGGGAGTCAGTAGGCTTGGGTTACAGGTAAGAAGTGGTGGGGGAATTAAAGGGAGGGGTCAGTTTCTGGCTTCAATGGAAGATGAGTTTTTGAGGAGAGGCAACATCGGGGGAGGTCTCCTAAGGGAGGTGTGTTCAGATGATTGTGGGACATCCAAGACGAGACATACAAGGACACTCCGATGAGAAGGA